CCGATTGATTTGATATTACATATATAGGTACTACATGTGGACCTCTCTCAGATTTGTTCATTTTGTGATGATATCTTCAATTCTTTAATTTTGGTGAATATTTTTGTCATTTTTGGTAAAAAGTGATATTTTCGACTTCTTGTTAAAAACCAATAGTTCAATTGCTTTGATATTACATATATAGATACTACATGTAGACCTTTCTCAGATTTGTTCATTTCGTGATGATATCTTCGATTCTTTAATTTTGGTGAATATTTTTGTCATTTTTGGTAGAAAGTGATATTTTCGACTTCTTGTTAAAAACTGTAAGTCCGATTGCTTTGATACTATACATATTGTTCATTTTCTAATGATGTCTTCAGTTCTTTAATTGAAATGTGCATTGCTAACAGCGGAGCTATCTCAGCCGATACCTAGAATTGATTGGTGTTTTTATCAACAATACCTAGAATTGATTGGTGTTTTCATCAACAATACCTAGAATTGATTGGTGTTTTTTATCAATAATACCTAGAATTGATTGGTGTTTTTATCAGCAATACCTAGAATTGATTGGTGTTTTTATCAACAATACCTAGAATTGATTGGTGTTTTCATCAACAATACCTAGAATTGATTGGTGTTTTCATCAACAATACCTAGAATTGATTGGTGTTTTTATCAATAATACCTAAAATTGATCAGTGTTTTTGTCAACAATACCTAGAATTGATCAGTGTTTTTATCAATAATACCTAGAATTGATCAGTGTTTTTATCAATAATACCTAGAATTGATCAGTGTTTTTATCAATAATACCTAGAATTGAATAGTGTTTTTGTCAACAATACCTAGAATTGATCAGTGTTTTTATCAATAATACCTAGAATTTAGCAGTGTTTTTATCAATAATACCTAGAACTGAAGTGTTTTTGTCAACAATACCTAGAATTGATCAGTGTTTTATCAACCATACCTAGAATTTATCAGTGTTTTATCAATAATACCTAGAATTGAACAGTGTTTTTGTCAACAATACCTAGAATTGATCAGTGTTTTATCAACCATACCTAGAATTTATCAGTGTTTTATCAATAATACCTAGAATTGATCAGTGTTTTATCAACCATACCTAGAATTTATCAGTGTTTTATCAATAATACCTAGAATTTATCAGTGTTTTTATCAATAATACCTAGAATTTAGCAGTGTTTTTATCAATAATACCTAGAATTGAAGTGTTTTTGTCAACAATACCTAGAATTTAGCAGTGTTTAATCAATAATACCTAGAATTGAACTTTGTTTTTGTCAACAATACCTAGGATTTATCAGTGTTTTATCAATAATACCTAGAATTGAACTTTGTTTTTGTCAACATTACCTAGAATTGAACAGTGTTTTTGTCAACATTACCTAGAATTGAACAGTGTTTTTGTCAACATTACCTAGAATTGAACTGTGTTTTTGTCAACAATACCTAGAATTTAGCAGTGTTTTTGTCAACAATACCTAGAACTGAAGTGTTTTTGTCAACAATACCTAGAATTGATCAGTGTTTTATCAATAATACCTAGAATTGAACTTTGTTTTTGTCAACAATACCTAGAATTTATCAGTGTTTTATCAATAATACCTAGAATTGAACTTTGTTTTTGTCAACATTACCTAGAATTGAACAGTGTTTTTGTCAACATTACCTAGAATTGAACTGTGTTTTTGTCAACATTACCTAGAATTGAACTGTGTTTTTGTCAACATTACCTAGAATTGAACTGTGTTTTTGTCAACATTACCTAGAATTGAACTGTGTTTTTTCTCATGGTTTCACAGGCTGGTATAAATGACAAAGAATCACATTCTAATGCAAAACAAATTTTATTAGAAATGGGAAGATACTTTCAAATACAAGTAAGTATATATCAACTTCAACTGCACACAGAACTCAAAATAGTGGGATGGAGCATTCCACTCCTCTCTCAACTGCACTCCACTTCATTCTACTGCACTACAATACACACCATGTCACATCTATAATATGCAACAATTTATTTATTAAAAATTATTTTTACAAACAGTATATTGTCATTGTGCACACACTCATTTTTTTCAGGATGATTTTCTAGATTGCTTTGGTGATCCGTCTGTTACAGGGAAAATAGGTACTGACATAGAGGACAATAAATGTGGTTGGCTGGCTGTGAGGGCATTACAGAAAGCCACGCCAGAACAGAAGAAAATATTAGAGGTACACTACAATAGATTAGCTTAATTAATCCCCATTTGGATGAAGTACCAGGAGATATTCACATGTGTGTCATGTATGTCTATGTCCCTGCCTTGCAGTGACTATGAAATTATGTTCAAACTTTATACATTATGAACCTGACTGTATTTTGTTTATTAATTATGGTAATAACATTGGATAGATTTAATACTAAATCATATAAACAATCATTTCTTTCTGATGACTGGGTACATTGGAATCAGATTACATGTAAACGTATTTCCATAATGTAGTAAAAGTGTTCCATTTTCTTTCAGGAAAACTATGGAGTTGATGATCCTGGCAAGGTGGCAATAATCAAAAAGCTTTATGATGACTTGAACCTTAAAGAATTGTTTTATGAATTTGAGGAAGAAAGTTATCAAACTTTAATGAAACTTATTGAGCAATGTCATGGTGAACTTCCAGCTGAAATGTTCATTGATTTCGCAAAAAGAATTTACAAACGAAAGAAATAGGTTATGTGGCCGTTTTCATAAGGCTGTAACTCATTATGCTAATATATAACTCGTTATGCTAATAAGTTACTCATTATGCTGATAAGATACTCATTATGCTAATAAAAATAATCATGTATGTAACTCATTATGCAAATTTGTAACTCATTATGCTAATAAGTTACTCATTATGCTAATATGTAACTCATTGTCCTAATAAGTTACTCATTGTGCTAATATGTAACTCATTATGCTAATATGTAACTCATTGTCCTAATGTGTAACTCATTGTCCTAATATGTAACTCATTGTGTTAATATGTAACTCATTGTGCTACTATGTAACTCATTATGCTAATATGTAACTCATTGTGCAAATATGTAACTCATTGTCCTAATATGTAACTAATTATGCTAATATGTAACTCATTCTGCTAATATGTAACTCATTCTGCTAATATGTAACTCATGCTACTATATAACTCATTGTGCTAATATGTAACTCATTATGCTAATATGTAACTCATTGTCCTAATATGTATCTCATTGTGCTAATATGTAACTCATTATGCTAATATGTAACTCATTATGCTAATATGTAACTCATTATGCTAATATGTAACTCATTATGCTAATATGTAACTCATTATGCTAATATGTAACTCATTGTGCTAATGTGTAACTCATTATGCTAATATGTAACTCAGTGTGCAAATATGTAACTCATTGTGCTAATTTGTAACTCATTGTGCTAATATGTAACTCATTGTGCTAATATGTAACTCATTATGCTACTATGTAACTCATTGTGCTAATATGTAACTCATTATGCTACTAATGTAACTCATTGTGTAATTTGAGCTGAAAATTGTGCTTAGTCCATCATATCTGGAATACCTCAAATAATCTATCAGGAAAAAAAACATTTGTGTTTAGAATTACTGTCCCAGGGTCACACCATTTACAACCATGGAGATTAGTTATGAATTTATTTTCAAGCAAGTTTGTCGTGGGGAGTATCGGCCTAAATACATACCCAGGGAGACCTTGTTTCCCATTATAATCTTAGTACATTAGTCACAACACAGGTCACAAGATATCAAATATTGCTGTCAGTATTTTAATTTAGACGTCAGACAGGAACGAAAGGCTTTAAACATTTGTTTCAAACAGTTGAAATTTGACAGTCCAAAAACAAACAAAAATTAGAATTTTAGTTCATGTGAAATTTACAATATGTTTTCAGTCTCAATATGAATACAACTGTAGCATAAAGAAACTTTTCTACAGAATAAATGTTACAGTCTGTTTTATGCAAGTTAAACTTCAAACCTTATGTATGTTATATCATGGTTACATTATTATTTTCTCTGTGTGTGAAATATTATTTTCTGACAACTTGCAATTTTTGATGAGTTGTTCAGCTTTAACTCTTGATATATTTCCCTTAAAAGTTACTTGAAAAACTATTTTTAACTCAACAAAAATTACATGTCAGATTTATCACTCTGTAATAGTATTCATGAACATGCAATGTTGTATTTGATCACATGTAATATTTGCCAATAAAATAGTTCTTGGTTGAATTCTTGGGAAAAGAAACTTGTGTATTTAATGATAGTGAACTTGTTCTACTTGTATTATTTGCTACCACATCCAACCTATACTACCACATTAACCCATTCAACCTATACTAGCATTAACCCATTCAACTTATTCTACTGCATTAACCCATTCAACCTATACTACTGCATTAACCCATTCAACCTATACTACCGTATTAACCCATTCAACTTATACTACAGCATTAACCCATTCAACCTATACTACTGCATTAACCCATTCAACTTATACTACTGCATTAACCCATTCAACTTATACTACTGCATTAACCCATTCAACCTATACTACTGCATTAACCCATTCAACCTATACTACAGCATTAACCCATTCAACCTATACTAGCGCATTAACCCATTCAACCTATACTACTGCATTAGCACATTTAACCTATACTACCGCATTAACCCATTCAACCTATACTACAGCATTAACCCATTCAACCTATACTACCGCATTAACCCATTCAACCTATACTACCGCGTTAACCCATTCAACCTAAACTACCGCACTAACCCATTCAACCTATACTACCGCATTAACCCATTCAACCTATACTAGCGCATTAACCCATTCAACCTATACTACTGCATTAACACATTCAACCTATACTACCGCATTAACCCATTCAACTTATACTACTGCATTAACACATTCAACCTATACTACCGCATTAACCCATTCAACCTATACTACTGCATTAACACATTCAACCTATACTACCGCATTAACCCATTTAACCTATACTACCGCGTTAACCCATTCAACATATACTCTATCACATTAACACATTCAAACTATACTACTGCATTAACCCATTCAACCTATACTACCGTGTTAACCCATTCAACTTATACTACTGCATTAACCCATTCAACCTATACTACCGCGTTAACCCATTCAACCTATACTCTATCA